CGTCAAATGAGTGATTTTACTTTGAGCCCCCCCTATCTTGGCAGCACTTTTACGTAATGCCCCCCCTCTAGTTTTTCAGCCCCCCTCCTGATAATTATTGCACAGTCCCTTAGAGCTAATATATAGATTTAGCCAGGGCTAAACGCGAAGCTCTGGTTAATAATACGTGTAAACTAAAAAAAAATAAATATTGTTATGCTAAACGGGGGACGACAATGAAAAAGGCTTCAAGACTAATAGATCTAATTAGCAAAAAAACAAATTGCACGTGCAGCACACTTTTTCTTCTAATTAGCAAAAAACAAATTTGCACGTGCAGCACGCTTTTTGTCTTTCCCTTGCCGTTGTTTTGCACGACTACAACGCTGTTTTGTACGACTAAAACGTCAAACTTCCTAGTTACACACTATTTTTATGGAAAATTGTCGTATGTGCTTACCCGATATTTTGTTTCCAGTGTTCATGTTCGCTTTTATTTTTCGCTGCCGCTCATTTTCACCTTGCTGGCCGCTAGCATTTCTCATTTTCTCACCGCCGCTTTGAATTTTCCATGTTTTTCTTCCTACGAATTTTCAATAACTCGCTCTAGCTCTTTCTCTGTTATCCACGTTAGTGTACACATAAAAAATAACGCCGAAAAAGACACGACTTTTTTCTTTCTAAAAGTCCGGGCGGCCATGTGATTTCCTTCCAAATAAATCCTTGAGTTGCATTTGGCTTCCCATACCTGTTGATTGAGTTATTTTACATTGGTATACCTGTGGTGCGGACGGACGGTTGCTCGCTCGATCGCTCGCTCGCTCGGTGTACGGTCACGTGATTACCAAATTTTCTGGGATGGGTAGATTACCACATTTCCTTAGCTATGGGGCTCCGCCCACGCGCGCGCTTCGCGCGCGGGTGGAGCTCCCCTATGAAGTAGGTTAAACACTGAATGTCAAAACTGACTTTCCCGAGGGGTTAAAATGAACAGAAAACCACAGAAGGAAACTGGCCGTTTGACGTCACGAACCATAAATGGCGTTAAATGTTCTCAGTAAATCAAAATCTTACTCAGTAACCTTTCTATAAGCCTAATCTATTTCATGGTTGGAAACATGTTAGGCGAGTTTACTCGAGGAACAACTAAAGGTTTTCAGAAAATGTTGCATTGTTTCCTGTCAACTGTAATATGTTACTTAACACCTTGACGCTAATCTACTTAGCTAGCCAATGAGAGACTTGGAATTTCAAAATCAGTGCCAAATTCGGCTCTCATAGTTCAGTTTTTTTACTTTAACAGGCTAACGCCAAGTTGAATTCGGTACTCTTGGTTCATTGCTGCGAATAGAAACATTTTATATTTCGCCTGGATAAGGCCCCTTAGTTAAAAATCAATGGGAACTCGTTTCTTAGTCACGGACAGCAATGGAGATGTGGCAAGTAAAAAGGTAATGTGATTTCAAATTTATGCAAGTCCGCCAAGACAACGTCTTCAGAATAGATTTCTCACCTGAATTTCAGTTCTTCACTGCTTCTACAAAATTCTTAGGTAACGAATACCTTGCAAATCTTTTATCCAAAGGAGGATGATAAGAAGATAATGGTAGAATTTACTTCAGATGACCGCCTGAAATAGATAAACAAAACATCTGCCCCGTCGACTGAAGACAAAAGAACACAGGCAAAATCTCGAAGACTTGCTTCACCGACCTTCACTGAAACAGCATGACCGGTATGTATTGGTTATTTTAAAACAGAACTCTAAATCGTTTTGAAAATTATCTTCATGCAAATAAATAGACGCGTTTTGAGACAACCCGACGCACTTGCGTGGCCCTTTAAAGTTTTCGAAATGTTCAGTACAATTGCATAGATTTTCCAGTCTTCGGATGACCATCTTAATTGCAATATTGTACTGCTGTTACAGAGCTGACATACGCTATTACAAAGCTTTTTTTTTTAATGTAGCTTTGAGTCGCGCGTTGCTCACGATGACCACGCACACGCGTGCGTGCGTGTTCCCCACATTAACTTAAAGCACAGGCGTATTGCTGAAAGACTGTAATTTTTCGTGCGTTAACCAGTGAACTTAAAAACGAAATGCTTTCGTTTATTTCAGAAATATTATCAAATTTGAACGACTGAGGGAATAAACAACTTTGAATGAAGCTCGGCGAGTACCCATATTTTCATTACAAGCAAGACAAGTCCTGATCCGGCGGATGAGTTACCCTCAACGGGCCAATGCTTAGAATAGGATCTTTTTTTGCTTTCTAGTAGAAAAACATGGCTTGTAGAACAATGAAGGGCAATGGTAGTTTTTAGATCATACGCTCCGCTTAAATCAGTAGCCAAAGAAA